AATATTGCAACCTGATATAAAATCATCCACATAAAAATCATTTAATATTTTATGACAGGCATCTGGGAAACTCGCTTCAAAACCAATTGTCGATTGTTGAAGGCATTTTGTAGCTAAATATGAAGCACTAGCTGTGCCATAAGTCACAGTATTTAAAACATAATGTTCTAGATCCGAATTTGAATCAAATCGCCAAATTATACGTTGAAAATGCTTATCTACATCGTCAACATTAATTTGTCGATACATTTTTTCAACATCTCCTGTGAGAACAAAATTGTATTGCCGAAATCTAAGCACGATTGAAAATAAATCATCTTGTATGACCGGACCAACCTTTAAGGCATCATTTAAAGATAAACCTGACTCTGATTTCGCAGATGCGTCGAACACTACACGCAACTTGGTAGTTAAAGAATCTTTTTGTACGCAATGATGTGGAATATAATAAATATTTTCACACCTATCTGAATTTAAATCAATTTTAGACATATGGCCCAGATTTAGGTATTCAGTAATAAATTCATGATATAACAATTTAAGATTATGGTTTTTATTTAATTTACGCTCAAGGGACATAAACCTATTTTTGGCATTTTGTAAATTTGTGCCCACTTTATTTATATTATTTTTAAAAGGCAATTTAACAACAAAATGACCCTGCTTGTCCTTGGAAACAGTATCAAGAAAATGAGCCTGTACTTCACTTTCTTGAGAAGAAAAATTTATTGATTTGTCAGGCAAATCTTCGACCAACCAAAACCTTTCCAGCAAATTATCAATATTATTTGTCGCACAATGCATTGACATTGATTGGTTACTTGAAATGTTGGTAGCACCTGAAACAACCCAACCTAACTGTGTTTTCTGCAATATTGGTTGGTCTTTAATCTTAATTTGACCAGCGCAAAGTAATTCAAAGAAAATACCTGCCCCAAGCAAGACATCAACCTTATTAGCAATATTAAATTCAGGATCTGCTAAAGTTATGTTTTTCGGAACATTAACATACGATTTATCGAATGTTTGATTTGGAATATTTCCTGTGATATTTTCAATGACCAAAAAAGATAAATTATTATTATATGAATTGTGAAGAGATTCAAGTTTGGCATTTGTAATATGAGAAACAATATTTTGCGATTGATTAATTCCTGTAATTGGAACATTTATTTTGGATTTTAATAAATTCAATTTTTTACACAAATCTTTGGAGATAAAATTACTTTGGGACCCTGAATCTAAGAGCGCTCTGCATTTAACTTTTTCTCCAGTTGAACTAAAAAGATATATTTGGGCTGTTTGAAGCATTATCAATGATTTTATCGGGTATGCACAGTGCGTATTTATAATGCACTCCTCATTATTTATTGAATTGGCAATATTTTTGTTCAAAGGCAAAGCATTTTGACTTTTATTTTGCGAGTTTAGATTTTTATTTTGAAAATGTAATACACTGTTGTGCTTTTTTCCACAATGTTTGCAAGGACCGGAGGCGCAATTGCTGCATGAATGTCCTGGCTTAAGACAATTAGTGCATAAATTTAATTCCTTGACCTTGGTATACCGATCAAAGGGTTTCAGAGCCAAGAACTGATTGCAATAAAATATTACATGCGAGCCATTACAAACGTGGCATTTTGGTGAAGAAACTACAGTATTTTCTTCGGACAAATATGTGTGTAATTTGGTAGAAGGTGATTTAACCTCTTTTACTTCCAAATTTTCTAAAATTTCATACTTATTTGTTAAAAACTTAAGCAAATCATCCAAAGTTGGAATAGATTTACCCTGTGAACATTCCCATTCTTTTCGTGTCTCTAAATTTAATTTAGAAGAAAGAATATACACTAAAATAGTATCCCAATGATCTACAGGCTGTTTAAGAGACATTAAACATCTGTAGTTTGCAGAGAACACGTCGAGAAATTTTCGCAATTGAACATGGGACTCTTTGTAAAGCTTTGGCAAATCAAAAATCTTTTTAATATGCGAATTAACAATTAATTTATTATTTTCAAACCTGTCTTTTAATAAATCCCACGCAATAAAATAATTTTCATTTGAAACTTTTAATGATTGAATAACACAGGCAGCATCACCCTTTAGGGCCGACCTAAGATAATAAAATTTTTGGATATTTGTAAGCTGCGTATTTGAGTGTATAAGTGCATTAAACGAATCATAAAACTGAACCCAGTCTTCATAATTGCCTGAAAACTCTGGTAAATTTATTTGTGGCAATTTAATGTTAATTTCTGAGTGAGAATGGTTAAACGAAGAACAAAAAGGAGATTCATCTTTATTAGATAAACTTAAGCGTGTCTTTACAGCACCAACTAAGCTGAAGTAATGGTTTTCAACCTCGATACGTTCGCTAGGATCTTCCTCATCATGCAATATTTCAATTTGGTTTTGAATTATTCCATATTCATCAAAATTAGCAGTTAATTTACTTAGCCTAGCTTCAATTTCAGCATCAGTTGTTTCATCGGAAACAGTGGAAAAAAAGGTACCAAATCTGGTAATACAACCCTTAATTATACCCCTGCGCTTAATCAAAGTCTTTAAATCTTCAGGCATCATAAATTAATAGAAGCAAACACTCTGACAGAATAAATGTCAAAATATAAAATAGGCGAATTTATCAAACACCAATTGAATATGAATCTTTATATTACCATAAAACGCAAAATGAAAGCTTACCCAGTACAATGCGGTAAAGTCGAAACGTCAGCGACCGCAGCAAATGTAGGTATAGACCAGGTTCGCAAATTAAACCTGAACCAATCGTTCTTCGTCAACGTGGATCGGAAGGATAATCACCCAATCCAGGAATGCCTTTGGAGAGGTGAAATTGAATATCATGGAACAAAATTGGTAGAATTCGCAATTGATTCTTTGCCGACTTCTTCCACAATCACGGGAGTATCCCGATTCGAAGGACCAATGTTTTGTTTGTAGTTTTCTCTTATTGTTTTAACTTATTTTTATTTTAGATAAAAATTGACGTTTTTAATTTTATGAAGTTCTTTATTATATTTTTTACAATACATAGCAACTAAATTACTATCGAAACCAAACATTTCCGTTTTTTTTCGCCGGATCAATTTTCCGGAAATTTTAAAACCCTACTTTCGAGAATTTTAATAAGTCACAAAAAAATTCTAAAATACATATTTTGCTATACAGTAACTATTAAGGAATCGTTTACTTTAAATAACTAACTAAGTAACTATAACTATCTTAAGAAAGTCAACTTTAGTCAAGTTTAACTGTCCCAAGAATATCAGCTAGATATAACTTTCTTAACCCCCGCCAAACCAAAATCATTATTTTTAAAACCACCTTTAAAACGCCCTTTATCGTACATGTTTCCATGACACTAAGTGACCTTTTAAATACACATTGACAAGTTGTGGCGCTTTAGTCACGGGCTCAAGTTAGCAACAGGTTTTTAGTCACGGGCTGAAGTTAGTTTTAAGTTAGTTTAAATGTCATACAATCGTTAAAATAAATTGCCTCTCTTGTAAAATAATACTAAATGTGAAAATTATTTTATTATTAAAAATACAAAAGTATTAAATAGTTTCTCAATGCCAATATTTGAAAAGTTTATATGAACATTGTACGACGTACAATGTTCATATAAACTACAATGTACGTACAGTACTGACCTTTTAATTTCGCCGGCAGTAAACTATAACTTAAATTCGGGCACGGACTCCACTCTAAAGTGCTCATAAAACATTTTCTTTACTTTCACTGTGAAAAACTGTCAATTTTCAAGAAATACATTTCGATTTATAACATGTATAATCTGTGTTTATAAAAAATAAAAATTTGGCATTTGATGGTGACACACAGATTTCCCTATTGTTTCATAGAGGGCGCTCTATACAAATTTTTGATTTAAATCAATTTAAGATAATAATAAGTATTTGTCGTAGAAAAAGTATAGTATGCACCTCGTTTATAAACTTTTCTATACAATCATTACTTTAAGCACTCGCTCGCAAGCTCGCTCATGCCTAAATTAAATTCTTGTATAAAATGGCGTTTATCAAACTTGATACATAATATACTATTATGTAGGCAAAGAGAAAACAAATTTTTTTTACAAGATCAAGATATTTAATAATAAAAAATACTGAATAAGTTAAGTAGCTACATGTCTTAAATATAAACAGTAGCTACTTAACTTATTCAGTATTCTCCTGATTTAAAATACCAATACTTACCAAAACACAAAATTTCCAATTCCTAAACCCAGTGGTCAAAAAATAAAATGAGGCTTTTTTACGCGCTCACTGCATAATATTCATCCTATACATTTACTTTTACAGTTGTCAGTGTCAGATTCCTCTTGTAAGAAAAGCAGATTATTTTTCTTTCGCACTTTCAAAATTCGTTATTTTGACATTTTAAAAAAAAATAATTTTTTTTATTCAATGTCTCCAAAATTAAATATTTTTTGTATATATATTATGTATATTATATTATACCTGCATTATTAATTAAAATTATTTTTTTTATACATATATTAGTTTTTTAAATTTGGCTGTGGTTTGCACTGCTGTGCTGCTGTGCTGGGGCTCAAAACTCGTATAAAAAAATGTTACGTTCTTTATGAACGACCCCTTACACAAATAGTTTTTAAAAGTCCAACAAGAGTTGTAGATTATAATTGAATCGGTGAGATTAAGAAAAGTTAAAATTTTGACAAAATATTTCAAAAAATCAGTTTTTATAGTTCTAAATAAAGTGGGAATATTTTAATTATTTTATAAAATATAATATGTATATTCTGTCAAATGATTTATGTCTTCTCACAAAAATGTATTTTAACTTTTAAATTGAATTTATAAAATGACTGTAGTATCTATTTGTTGAAAAAATACTTTCTGATTAAAACAATAAATCAACTATAATTCACTCGAGACATTGATAAAAACCTCGATTTTCCCTCAATAACCATTATCTCAACTTATATTTCTTACCTTGTTTAAAAGTGGCGGTTGAGTGGATCGCCGAGAAGAAGAAGACGAGAGCATAGCGTATACAGATGGACCATCGGACATCCATTGTTCCAAGTTTATTGCTGATGGCGGTTACACTGCACCACTTTGCTTGCTGCTGAAACAAACGAAAAACATCTTTTAACGAAACTCGACAATCCAAAAGGGTTTACGAAGTTATAAGTTTTCTCAAAAGACCTTTCAAGTATTACAAGATAAATATTTTAAGAAAATTAATCACTATTACAAAAAACTTAAAACTTTTAACTAACAGTTCAAAAGCGTTAACAAAATGACGATTTTAATTTGATTATGTATTATTTGCCAATATCTAATCAAATCATGAATTGGTTATTTTCATTTTCATATTAACGATTTTTTAATTAGGTACCTGTTTATTAAACAGTGTTTAAATTTTTTTAACTATGTAACCATTTATTAAATCATTTTAAAAGGATTTCATATAAAAATGTCAATTTTTTTCCTGTAATATTTTATAAAAGCAGTTGTAAATTTTTATGATATACGATAGGAAATATAACGAAACTGTTTATCTAGCGAACTGTATAATACATCAAATAAATTAAATAAAAAGCCGTCTGGAACGTAGAAAGATTTAAAAACTATACAACTTTAATAAAATTTATAGGCAATTTGAAGCACTGGTTTATATTTCGGATTAATTTGTCTCGATAAATCTATATGAAAGTTTTCCGTAAAATCAGGCATTAATAAATCAATACAGATACATGGAATATTGATTGATAATTAAATTTAAAAAAATACGGGTCTTTACGAAAATTGTGAAAGAATTATTTATATGCTTTATGTATAAAATTATTATTGAACAACAAAAATAATATTATATTAGTTAGCTATGTACATTGTACAATGATTGATCAGTATGTCCATGGATTGAGTAACAAGGAGGGATTTTTTAATCTTTGATTTATTAGAACAATTTACTCTTGATGAAATGATCTCCTTATATTTTAAAACTAATCTGGTGTTTACTTTTACAGTTAATTTCGTACTTACATTTTTATACCAAATTTGAACATTTTATTTTAATTAGTAAAACTATCCTGGCACAAATAATTAAAATAAAAAAAGAAGTTAGAAAAATAATTAAATATTGCACCCCCAAACCAACACAAACCCTGGATCTAAATTCTTCATAACTTCTTTAAAATTCTTCTATCGTGATCGACCGAATAGCATTAGAAATTCTATTTTTATCTGTCCTGCATCATTTTCCAATGGTTCTGCATAAACCATTTGTTTTAATCGTCCCCATGAAAAAAATCCATTATAGTTAAATCTGGTCTTCGTGGAGGCCAACAAATTGCTAAATTTGGTAAATTGCTAATTGGCTAAACAAATTTTGTGAGATGAGTACTCATTCGAGTTTTAAGGGTTTAAATTTAAGACAAGTACCTAGATCATTTCATCAATAGTGATAAATAAAAAATAAAAAAAAAATCCTGTTTTTAACTCAATCCGTGGACACACTATATATGAAAGTCTTGGTATAAATTTAGATTTGATCATTTTGTTTTACTTATAAGTCATTAATTACAAATAAGAACAAAATTTATTTTAAAAAGTAAGCAAGTATAATGTTAATAATTAGGGCATTAATTAATCCTCACTTAACCTTATTCGCCTTTTAAAAAAAGGTAAAATTAACTGTGAGGTTAAGTTAAAGTGAAATATTTTTAAAGGAGCTTAATTTTATAATAGAATCTATTATAAAATTATATCTGATATTCAACAAAGTACGCAAACGTGTTTATTTTTAGCAAGAATCCTCTAGGTATATGTAGCTCTTGCTATATGTCATTAGTTTTGGTGTAATCTTGATAACCCAATTAAATTATCTACGCTTGGTTTTCAGGACCATATAACATACAAAATATAATGGTACTAAATTAAATTATATTTAATTTATTATATTTAAATTTAAATTTTAGTTCGTCTAGGTAAAATTTTAGTACAAAATTTAAAATCGAAATACTAGGCCTTTTTATATTTCCATTTTCGGAATCGCATTTGGAATAGTATATTCTGTAACAAGTTTGGAATACAGCATATTCCGAGTTTGTCACACGAGTCGAAGGCGAGTTTGACGGTTTCACGAGAGCGGAATATGCAATTCCAAACGTGTTTCAGACTATACTTATTCTACGTTTCCAAAAAATACCATAGAAAAATAATTTAATTGAAAGAAAGTGGGGTTGGATCGGTCTAAAATTTGTTAGATATTAAATACAGATATGTCGCTACGAGTGTTTATTCTGTCATCCGATGATAGAATATTTCATTCTGTAACACTTTACGGAATATGTCATTCCATAGAAAAAAGTGATATTACACTGTTTAAAATATCTGTAAATATGTGTAAAAAGTAATCCTAAAATGGTGTCAAAATCCAACACCAAGTGGTGTTAATATAACACCATGAATTAGGGTTGAAAATGAACACCAAAACGGTGTTTATCTAAAATATTTGAGAAGTGCACCTACCCAGAAAAAAAGGAATAGTTCATTTAACCCAGTTGACACATAAGTATTTATATTTTTGTGGATCACGTGATGTTCTTAAATCTCGCCTCTGTTGACTTACATGAAGAATATATAAACTAAGGCAGTCCTTTGCTTTGGTGTGACACTACAAGTTGTTCGATACTAAAGAGACCTTAAATAGGTGGAAACAGCTGTCAATACTTGAAGTATTTTAAGTTAGTGCAACGCACTAAAAACATTATCTCTAGCGAGTTGAAGGTTTCATTTTCTGGAATAATACCACTGGTAATATACTAGTAATGCGTCAAGGAACTTCCTGTTTCCTTTTTTTTCCTTTTTTCTGTGTAGTATGATAATTTGACCACAAACACATAATATTTAACACCGAAAAGGAGTTCAATTTACACCAGGTAAAATTTATTTTAATACTGTGTGAAAGTTAAATTAACACCATTTTAGTATTTGAATTTACACCGCCAACGAACCTTATTTAACACCATTTTAGTATTTAAATTGACACCGGACCAACGAACCTTATTTAACACCATTTTGGTTTGTATCGATATAGACCACGTATGGTGTTAATTTGGTGTTAAATTGGTCATGAAATTTAGAACAGTGTAGAACGGTCAAATTCCGTAATAGGAGTAGACAAAATATTTTAAGTTTTTTATAGCTGTGATCAAATTTTAAAATTTAACGAGATACCAACTTTGTAAAAAACGCGTTAATTGTCATTGTAGCCAAGCTAATAAAAAACTCCCAGTTAGTTTGGGTTACCCACGTGTGGGTAACGTGAATTAATTATATTTTTTGTTATTAAAAGTTAAAAGAGAGTTGACAAGCGGATATAGATGTCAACTACAAAGCAGTGTTTGGTCATTTTAAGCCTATGGGACAATATGAAAAATAAGTGACTTTGTGACCCAGGATAGATAAAATTTGAATCCCAGCACAGACCTAAGCTGGCCAATGCCTAAATTACAGAATCTACATTAGATTGGTGAAGCCACAAAATATCTCCATGAGATATGGTCGAAATAATGGAAGGTTATAGTAATATGTGCATTCAGCCAAGTGGTAAATATTTTATTGACTCTATATATATGTTTAGAATAGTGTATTAAGAAGAAGAAGAAGAAAGAACAAACTGAGTTATTAAAAGTACAAATTTAAATGATGGACGTATAGATTGATATAAAAATGAACTAAAATATTTCAAGTTATAAAAAATTAAATTAAATTTATATTATTTAATTTAACTTGAAATTAAAATTTACAGTAAACCTAAACAGAATTGAAAGAAATAAATGATCAATAAAACAATATAGGTTGTTAAAATTTTATTGATGAATGTATAATAAAGCACATTTTTCATAAAATTTAAATTTTAATATAAAAGCAAAATATAAAGGTTGTTTTAAGGCAAAATCATAGAAACGACCTTAATATTTTAGTAATAAACCAAAATATTAATAAAATATACTTTGTAAACTATTTGAAATAATTGTAACGCTAATAAATATTTCTAATTTGATATTAATATAATATCGTATGATAATAACACGCAAAGCAGACTCAGTATGCGGCGCAGAGCAGAGAAGAACTGCGCCACACACAACGCATAGCGGAAAGGTGCGGGCAGAAACAATTCGTATGAGTTCACGGCTTCGTTGAAACAGGAGGGGGATTTAGGAAAATTTATATTTAATAAATCGAAGTATAAACATTTAAATAATATTATTTATTTATTTATTTTCATGCCTAAATTTTTTTAATGTGGGTAATATGTTTTTTGCTCACGCATGTCGAAGCCAATCGGGGGCCCCGTATCATTGATACGGCTGATACCGCTGTAGCTACGCCCCTGCGTCCTAACAAAAGCAAAAACATATTGATATAAAAACGAAAAAATAAATTGATATAAATTGATATAAAAACGAAACTAAAATATTTCAAGATATAAAAATTAAATTAAATTTATAGTATTTAATTTTACTTGAGATTAAAATTTACAGTAAACCTAAAACGAAAACAGATTTGAAAGAAATAAATAATCAATAAAACAATATAGGTTGTTAAAATTTTATTGTAAAATTTATTACCGTATGTATAATAAAGCACATTTTTCATAAAATTTAAATTTAAATTTAAAAGCAAAATATAAAGGTTGTTTTAAGGCAAAATCATAAAAACGACTTTAACATTTTAGTAATAAACCATAATATTAACATAATATACTTTGTAAACTATTAATTAATATTTTTTGTATAAAATCCCACAAATCATAAATTTAAAATTAAATTACTTAGTCTAATAAACTTCATAAATCATTATTGTACTTATGTATAAACTTTAGGCGTCGTAAATCAAATTTAAGTTTCAATCCTAGGAGATCTTTTTAGTCTGGCTTCTCAAGCTATATCGATTCAAGTTTGAGGTGTAGATTATTAAATAAACTGCTTCAAGGCGAGATGCTGCTCCTCTCTCTCTTTGAAATCTACAGTTTCACTCAGGAAAAACCATTTACCGCATATTTAATGTGACGGCAAGGCATATTGCCGTTTTGTCAATTCCAAAAAGAAAATC